TTTTTTTTTTTTTTTTTTTTGGTACCAGGGATTGAACTTGGGTCCTTGTGCTTGCAAGGCAGGTGTCGGAACCACTGAGCTAAATCCCCAGCCTGAGAATGCGCTTTTCTATATAGACAGGACCAGGTTCTACATAGGATGTATCCTCATGTTTCTCATGAACCAATATCCATCTCTACTATCTGTCTGTATGGCTTTGTGGTGCTCTGTGTATTTATCTATTACACTTGAACAAAGACCCCCCCCAAAGACATTTAGATTGCTACCAATATTTTTCTGTTATGTATAAATAATAAAAAGTAAACAGGGCTGGGGATTTAGCTTAGTGGTTTGGTGGCCTGCCTTGCAAACACAAAGACCTGAGTTCAATCCCCGTACCCCAAAAAAAAAAAAAAAAAAGAGTAAACAATTTGTAAAGAGATCTCATGAGCCAGGTGTGGTGATGTGAGCTTGTAATTCCAGCACTCAGGAGGCAGAGGCAGGAAGATCACCATGAATTCAAGTCTGCCCTGGGTTACATAGTGAGTTCAAGGCCAGCGTGAACTACACAGCAAGTGTATCTCAAAAAACCAAACAAAAGGGCCGGGCATTTAGATCAGTGGTATCGCACCTGCCTTGCAAGTGCAAGGTCCTGAGTTAGATCCCTGGAACCAGAAAAAAAAGAAAAAGAGAGAAAAAAGAGGGAAAAGGGAAGAGAGATTCCAGTACTCTTCTGCAGTACTTTTAGGATAAATTCCCAGATATAAACCTATAAAATTAATGTTTGGACAGATGATGTTAGACTAGATAAACACCTTGAGAACAGCCAAATCAGCTTCAGATTCCCATCAAAAATATCTAAAAATGGGGCTGGGGATTTAGCTCAGTGGTTCCACTGCCTGCCTTGCAAGCACAAGGACCCGAGTTCGATCCCTGGTACCAAAAAAAAAAAAAAAAAATCTAAAGAGCTGGGCATGGTGTTTCATGCTTGTAATCCCAGCTACCTGGGAGGCTGAGACAGGGGGATCACAACTCAATGTGGACCTCTGTCCTACCTAGCATGTGTGAAGTCGTGTTCAATCCACAGTACCACACACGCACACACAAAGTCTAAAAAGGTTCTTGAAGTTGGGCATGGAGGCTGAGGCAGGAGAATTGCTGTGAGTCTGAGGCCAGCTTGGGCCATATAGTGAGTCCAACACCAGCCTGAACTACAGAAGGAGAATCTATCTCAAAAAGCCAACCCCCTCAAATTTTTTTTCAATAGAAATGATAGCTCATTGTTTCTTTTAAAATAAATATTTTTAGGGGCCAGGGATTTATAGCTCAGTGGTTCCACCACCTGCCTCGCAAGTATAAGGCCCTGAGTTTCATCTCTGGTACAGCAAAAAAATATTTTAAATAAAATAAAATACTTTAAAATAATAAAACCGTGTGTGTGTGTGTGTGTGTGTGTGTGTCTGTATTTTTGTAAACAGGGATGGAACTCAGGACCTTGTGCTCGCCAGTAGGCATGGCACCAGTCAGCTACATCCACAACCGAAATAAAATAAATACTAATGCTTAAAATTGACATATCAGGGCCGGGGATGTAGCTCAGTGATTCTACTGCCTGCCTCACAAGCACAAGGTCCCAAGTTCGATCCCTGGTATAAAAAAAAAAAAGAAAAAAAGAAAAAAAAAAAAGAGCATTTTTATTTCAACTTCTCTTTTTTTGGAGGGGGTGTTGCTGAGAATTGAATGTGGGGCCTAGCACATGCTAAGTACAATCTCTACCACCGAACAACACCCCCAGCCTCAAATGCCAATCTTTCTTGTGCCCATCACCTGCCAATAGTGGGGACTGAACCATGGACCACGGCACTGAGCTATTACTCCTGTTTCGTTTTATTTTTTTAGTTTGAGACAGGCTCTTGCTAAGTGTCCCAGACACGATTTGATCTGTGATCTTCTTGCCTCAGCCTCTCAAATGCTGGGATTATAGGCACGCACCATCATGCCTGGCTTCCTGTATTTTCTTGTACTAGTCAGTCAGTTATTCCTAAGAATAACACGTACAGTAGTCCCTTTGCATCTTAGGGAAAAATGGGTAAACGAGAAGTTAAAACCATAAGGTATAACTACAAATGTCAGAATGACTTTTGTTTTGGATTTCTAATTTTAAAAGTGATGAACTACAAAAACAAAAAAAAGAAAGAAAGAAAAAAAGACCCTTAGCATATGGTAGCACATGCCTGTAATCCCAGCACTCAGGCAGCCCAGGAAGGAGGAGGATTACCTTGAGTTCAAAGACAGCCTGAACTAACAAAACCAGAAAACCAGAAAGAAGCCAGGTGTGATGGAGCACACCTGTAACCCAGCAACTTAGCAGGCTGAGGCAGGACCATGGCTGGAAATCTGAGGCCACCTTGGGCTACATAGTGAGCTCAAGGGCAGCCTGAACTGGATAGCAAGACCTTGTCTCAAAAAAAAAAAAAAAAAAAAAAAAAAATCCCCTTCCCCAAAAGGCTGAACTTTCAAAATAGATCAGGAATTGTCATTTCACACCGTCCTGAAAATGAGATCTTTGTCCAAATATGGCCAAAGGCTTTTAGCCTTGTCTTCCTGAGTTTCTTCATTGCAACTGACTAGAAAGCATCAGGAGGCAAGAGGGCCTGAACAACTCAACAAACGTAGACTGCATGAATTACTACTGCATGGATGGCGGGTGGGTGGAGGAGCAGTGGATGGACGAGAGTAAAAGGACAGACGGGTGGGTGGACGGATAAATGAAAAGACGGAGTGCGCGGATAGGTTTGTTTGTGGACAGACAAAGTATGTCAAGGTGTGGCCAAAAAGAAAGATAGTGCTGCTCTTGGCCGTTCCTACTGTAATACTGAAGGTGATTCCCCAGGACCAGATCACGGTGGAGCCTAGGGGTAGCCCTACGTTCTCCTCCTCCAGGGGTGATTGATATCTTTACGTCAGACACGCGGGCGGTTCCCCGTTTGAGGCAGTGGCTGGAGCTAGGACCCACCTCCAGCCCCGCCGCCTTCTCCTCCCCGGACCTCTCCTCTCTACACTGCGGGGCCAGGACCTACCCCAGGCAGCGCTCTGTGGACATGGGAAGAGTTGTGCTTTCAGGCCTCCCGGGCGCTTGGTGAAGGGGCCTATGAGCAGGGCCAGCCCTGACCTGCGCCGAGTCCGAGGCCCGACAGAACCTGCCCCGGCCGAGAAGAAAGCCGCACAGCATTGAGCCTACCTCCCACTGGCATCCCACATGCCGGGCGGATGACTTTCCAGGGGGGATCCAAGGTACCTTGGTTTTCACCCGGACACTCCGCCGCACATTCACGGTGTCCCCTTTCATTCCACGCTTATGAGATTTCTGCGGAAGAGGGACAGAGGCGGGGTCACCTTCCCCGTGTGCCGTGGGGTCACCTCGGCGGCATCGCCTCCAGCTCTTGCACGGCCGCCTCTGCTGATTGAGGCCGCTGCAGCCTCCGCTGGACGACAGGCGACAGGTGCCTACCTTCCAAGCAGGCAGGCGGCCTCCTTCTCCCAAAGCTCAGGAGCCAGAGGCGGGCAGGCTGTGCGGGAGGAATCGCATGGCCACTGCGGTCGCCTCGCCCCGCTGCGTGCTCCTACCTGGCTGCTGGCAGCTGTTGGTTTGGAGAGTTTTTTTATGTGGACGTGGACGGGGGTGTTCTCATCCACGTGAACATGTAAGGGGGGAGTTGAAGAGCGGTCCCTCATGGCTCACGTCTGGCAGGCGGGGGAGGGCAACACAAAAAAGGCTGATCTGTGGACGAGTAAACTGAGCATGAACACAGAGCTCACAGCCTCCGCCGCCCCCTGAAAGCCTGGCCACCAAGCAAGCAGGACAGGAGCCGACCATGGCATGCAGGCAGGGCAAGGCAGGAGTACTGCTCAGCAGGCTCCCGCAGGCATCCCTGCTGGAGACACCAGGGAGCACCGTGTCCGGCCTCAGAGCGAAACTCCATCCAGGCGCCCAGCAGTTGCAGAGCTCCCCTTGGATTTAGGGTATGAGGCTGGCACGCAGGAGTGGCCTTCTATACAAGGGCCTCAATCAGCTGCACGTGCAGATTAGCGTGGGACACAGACTGGTTAGAGTGCAGCATCAATCCAAGTACGAGCAGGTAAAGGACAGGAAACAGAAAGCAGGCAGAAAGGCAAGGATGAGAAGGTTGTGCAGATTCTAAAGAAACCATGAAGGGCTGCAGGTGCAGCCCAGTGTTCCAGCACCTGCCTACCATGGGTGGGCCCCAGGTTCCATGCCCAGGACCGCAAAGCAAAACAAGGACACCATGATGGGACAGAACCCCAGCTATACGTCCCTCACCCACCACCAGCTCCTAGCCTCTACCTTTCTCCTTTTCAAAATGTTTAATTCTTGTTTGTTTGTTTGTTTTTGGTACGGGGGATTGAACTCAGGTCCTTGAACTTGCAAGGCAGGCCACCGAACCGCTGAGCTAAGTCCCTGCCCCCCACTTTTTCCTCCGTATTTTGAAACAGGGTCTCACGATGTAGTTCACACTGGCCATGAACTTATCACATAGCCCAGGCTAGCCTCGAACTCATGGCGATTCTCCTGCCTCAGCCTCCTGCGGGCTGAGACGATAGGCACACACTACCATACCCAACTTGTAAAATCTCTTTTTTTTTCTGAATTCTAAAAATTTTGGCATTTGCCAGGAAGGATAATGTTTAGACAACCTTCTCACTGATGGCAGCCTACAGACAGGCAAAAAAAAAAAAAAAAAAAAGGCGGTAGCAGCAAGAAAGAGTAAGACATGCATAACAGCACAGTATAGAGCGCTGTGGCCACGGTAGTGCCAAGGACGTGCACAGAGGCGTTCCCAGTGGGGTCACAGGCCAGGGAGGGTGCCCCGCATGCACGTCACCTACCGTCACAGTTACACTGGGTGGGCCACAAGGTGTTCTCAAGACTTTTTTCTGCGTGAGAGTTGTTACTCCGTTCTTCCCGCACGATGGAAACCTGCACCGGGAAACAGAACCAGATTACAAGTGGAACCCTGGGCTCCACACGCCTCACTCTGCAGGACTGCACTCTGCACGTGGGCTGGTGGGGTCCCAGCCAGGAGAAGCAGCGGTCCGGGGCTCAGGTACACACTGCCCGTGACGGGGTGGACACTGCCACAACTGGCCTGGTCACCCGCCACCCATCGCAAAGATCGCAAGCTTTCGCAGCAGAGCTTGGGTATCATCCTGTCAGGCTGTACCTGAGAAGCAGCTAAGGAACCCTGTGGACAAGATTGACAGTTCCCATCCAGGACGGCACCTGGGGCAGAGCTAGCTCTGGAGAAAGATCAGGAAGTGACTGACTAAAGGCAGAATTCAATCCCCTTCAAGACTGAGGAAGTCATTAAAATGTGTAACTAAGTAGTTGGGCCTTGTCACCTGCCTCTAATCCCAGCACTTTGGGAGGCTCAGGCGGGAAGATGACAAATTTGAGCCCAATCTAGGCAACAGGGTGACTTAGTAAGACTCTCTCAAAATTAAAGATAAAAGGGCTAGGGACAAGCTCAGTGTGAAGGTCTTGAGTTCAATCCCCAGTACAAAAAAAAAAAAGCGTTCAGCTCAGTCACTGTCATCCAAATTAATGTTTGAATATTCAGTTAAGAAGACAAAACATACTTCCCAAAATATTCCATGAAGTACCTAAGAAACAGGAACAAGTTTTAATGCCATGTGTAATCCCCCTGCTTGTACACGAAACAGCCCCATCGCCAGATTCACAGACAGCAAAAGTGGGACCTGCCCTAAAATCTGGTAGTACATCCAACAATTCTTGCCTGGGAAGGGACTTGAAATGATTACCTGATTCACCCTATTGCTTCCTGGCAGTCCCAAATAACACCTTGGCCTTCCACACATAGTTGGGGAAAATAATGCAACACCAAAATAACTGAGCAGTGCATGCCTGTCACCCCAGCACTCTGGAGTGAGGCAGGAGGATAGCCACAAGTTTGAGGTCAGCCTGGGCTACACAGGGAAATCTCATCTCAAAAAAGCAAGGTGTAGGGCTGGGGATGTAGCTTAGTGGTGCCGTGCCTACCTGGCAAGCACAAGGTCTTGAGTTCAATACTGG